TCCTCCTCTGCCACTGTGCTTCTCCACCTCAGTGCTTTTGGGCAGTGCCTCTGCCTTGCCGTGTCTTTGGATACAGTAGTGATGGGAGCATCCCGAGGAGGAGACGAGCTGTGGTCCTTCCTCTTTTTAGTGGGAGGGTCAAAGACTAAACCCCAGGTCTCCAGGCATGCTTGCAGCCTCACCACAGTGTACTAGACGCAATGACTGGAATAAGATTTTGCAGTAAAATGGACACTCAGCAATGGGGACAGGGTAAGATCTAACCCTCTGAAAATTTAGCAGATTAGTGGAGAGAAAGAAACAAATGGGAGAGCGGTGAGTAGAGAGAAAAAGAAAAGAAGTTGAGGTATCCCAAGCAGTTGGCTTTTCGTAACAACATTCTCCTTGTTAAATCTCGTTAATCATCAGAAACGCATGGGTGCTCTAGCCTCTTTTAAAGAGGTCTCCAATGCTGCAGCTGAAAAAAGCACACCTGTAAATCTCAGACATTCACCTTTTCCACAGAAGTATGCCCTATAGACGTATCAGATGCTGATAGACTCTGACCTATTCAGAGATGTGAATATTAATGGAAAATGCTGAAAACCCACTTTTATGCCTCTACTGGAGGAAGCATTTTCAAAGCATTTCTTCCAAGATGGAAGAAATCTCATCTGACCTAGTTTCCTACCCTGTTTGTTACCTCCTGGCTGTCTCATCTGAGGTTCCACCTGCTGTTTTCCCATCTGCCAGCCTTTTTTAGATCAGAGGAACCTTCTGAGTTACACGTTAAATGTCAGGCAGGCTTGAGAAAAGTTGTTTATGTCTGCATTTAAACAGATTATATTTTCCATTAAAAATGCAGCATGGAGACACTGAAGACTAAGATCTCATTTGCTTTTGGTTACCGTAACTCAAGAGCAAGTCTGCTTATGTGAAAACTGATGCTATTAGTTCAGACCTGCGTATATCCAAGCAGAATGATGATACCCTGTGAAGACCATTATTAGCGTCTTTTCCAGTAATACTGAAAGCCTCAAGCTGGGGGCCAAAAAGTATCAGATAGTTTAGTCAAAGTCACTGGAAGCCTCATGTGGACTGAAATCAAACCCAAAACCAGTATCGGGGAACCATCTATCTTCTCCCACTTACCTCCTAAGCTATACCAGAGCAGAACACAAAGATTTATCAATTATCTGAAAGAGTAATTATCTCTAAGGTTGCAATACCTAAGGACAACTACTCCACTCAAACCCAACATTTGAGGTATGCTGTACCATGCAGTATTTACAGTACAGTATTCTGCCAGCGTATAAGACCACAGCGCTGCTGAAGAAGCCTGGTGAGGACTTAGCTGTGGGATTTTATGGTAATCTTTGTTTTTCTGCTACCTTTGCTACTCTTGCATATTCTGCAGAGGGACCTTGATAATCTGATCTCTGCCATCTCTGAGTTCTATGCAGACTTGAGAGGCACCAGGAATCATCCACACCCATGTAAGTCAACGAAAAGACTCCCTTTATTTTCAGCGAGTTAGGGATCAGAGCCCTGGAGCATCACCTCCACTGTACACCATCTATCTGACAAAAATGTACCGTACAGCCAGTGCCTTAGGAAACTCCAGAAGCAAGGGTTTCAGCAGTTATTTTCTCCCTGAAAAGCATACAGAAAAGAACTGGAAACTCATCACGTCAGTACAGACTGCCACATGTAATTTGTATGAGAAGATCAAATGTATACTGGAGCTACGGGTGTCCTAAAACACCCATGTGAAGCCAGTAGAAATCTTGCCACCGATTTCAGTGGATCAAATCTTAGAGGCCATTAAGTAGTTCTACTTGGTATATTAAGATTTTATGAATATGTGTAGGCAGCCATTCTGTACCTGTCTTCCGTTGTGCTCCTGGAATAATTTCAGCCATTAAATGGATGGCCCTGAACCTTCGAGTCTCTCAGCTCTTGGAGGCAGAGGTCTCTACTCCGAGTCTGCTTCAGCTGATTGACCTGCTGTCCATGTCGGATGCTTCCATAGGAGAATCACTGAGCCTAGACTGCCCATGCTATGAAAGCCAGGATGAGTAAAATCTGTGCTTCCTGAAGAGATGCAGGCATGTTACTTTTCCTTGAGTTTAGGACATTGTAATTTACCTTAACTTGCCTACAGCTGTCTCCAGGGAATGAAGGGAAGTCTCGGTGGGAGGAGGAGGGCATTTCTTGCCTTATCCCTCAGACAAATACAACAACTTGAAAAAGTCATTATACGAAAGGCATGTAACACAAGTATTAACACTATGATTTACAGTAATAAAAACATTATTACAATGTGTCTAATTAGGAACTATTAGAAGACCAATTAAAGCTGTCAAAATAGAACAAAAAAGCAACACGTGTTTTTTTCCCTGGAGGACTGGGATATGGTGAGACTCATTACTAACTCGTAATTTGAGGACAGAAGATTGCTTTCGGTTTGAGTTGAAATCTAGGCTCCTAAGGAAAAGAGGGCTCTGAGGTATATTCTTCTCTGGCAGGCATTGCTTAAGCAAGTGTTATCGCAACAGTAGAAGCATTTTTTAATACCCAGGGCAGACACTTAAAAAATCTGAATACAGCAGTATCTATTTAGTTCATCTTTAGAATCCAACACAATTCTGACATTTGCAATCAGCGTGTCAGTATTCATCTCACTGCAGGAAATAAGACAAAATGGCATTTAGTTTACCTGGAAAGGATGGTCAGACAGCCCTTAAGGAATCTAATTAAAATGCAGCTTGTTACCAGAGCAGTGCATCATGCTGTGCTGCCATAGTAACCAGGGGTCCCATGGACTTTCGGGGCCATCTGAGGGCACGTTTGCAAGAGGCACAAAACCTAAACTGATTGCCTATGGTACGTTTTAAATGACCTGAAAACTCCAAATGATTTGCTGATATTAACCTACGAAAGAAAATAATTAATTCCTACATGATCAGACAATGGGCCAGTCTCAGGAGTCAATTTATTCTTATTACTGTTTTTTATGACATACTGTTCCCCACAGCTTATTTAAGAAGTGCACGACTTATTTGCAACATGTGAGCAACCAAACAGTTTAATTTGATTCCCTAATAGAGAAACAATAGAGCAATCAAGACCTGTGGGCTGTGGAAGAGAAGATGAACAACAGAAATAGGTATCCTACTTAGGCTGCTATTTCCACTGCTATTTCCTAAAGTATCAGGCATCTGACTGCTCTCAGTTGTTGCTTTTGGTGGATGAGTCCCTGCTAGCATGTGGGG